AAAAAAAAAAAAAAAAAAAAAAAAAATCACAGATCACCATGACAAGTAAAATGATAACGAAAAAGTTTGAAATTACTAAAATGTGACACAGAGACACAAAGTGAGCAGACGATGTTGGAAAAATAATGCCAAAAGACTTGCTTGATGCAGGGTAGCCACAAACCTTGAGCTTGTAAAAAGTGCAATATCTGCGAAGTGTGCTAAAGCAAAGCATGATAAAACGAGTTATGCCTGTGCTCACTGAACACTTACAAATGTGCTAGACTCACTGCTAAGGTCTGTATGTGCATTATCTGAGGTAGTGGGTGCAGGGTGCACCACGGAGATATGCCCAGGACTCAGGTACTCCTCCCCCTTCTGCCAGCACCATAGACTGGCACACAGCTACCCTCAGCAAAAGGGAGATGCATTCCCTGAGGTCATGCCCCTCTGCAGAGGTGGCCCACATCTCATGGCTGGTGGGTATAGCGTAGAAAGGCCCAGCCCCTGCCCACAATTCGGGACAACTCTGAACAGCATCCCATCGCCACAGTTCCCCACGGGATCAGCTGGGACCTACATCACAACTGCATCGCAGTTCAACGTCACCTTCTACCTAATCCTGCTTGCCTCGCTCCCTTACAAGAGCTGTTTCCGAGAGCCCTCTCCAGTGACCCTCCACATAAAAATGTCCATCTGAGTCTGTGTCCGAGAGCCGACTAGGACACCTTGTTTAATACACACAAAATCTATGAACAAGTACTATTCTTACCCCCATTTTACTGATGAGAAAAACAGAAATTCAAAGAGAGTTAAGTAATTTTCCCAACGTTATACAGCTATTAAGTAATAAAGCCAGGGAAGGAACAGACACTGAATTCTGGTTTCAAGGGCACCCCTTAACCTTGCAAGGCTCACTCCATGACTGTACGCATCAAGCTGTTTGTACGCATCAAGCTGACTGCCCACCCACCCCGGCCAGTCAAATTCTACCCTGGAAGAAAGAGGAAAGCAGATACTCCCTCTTTCCTCCTTCAAGGACAAGTTCTGTACCAGAGGCTGAACCTTCAGATGGAAAGGCAGGATTGTGATGTGATTATGAACTGGGGTGTTAAGGAACTCAAAGCTGGATTGTGGGGAATGGGACACGATGCTCTCAGGGACAGGAGTGTGGATGAGAGGGAATAATAATGATCAACGCTAACTTAAATTGCAGGTCCCCAGGCCCCGCACAGGAAGGCTCTGATTTCATAGGACTCAGGTAGGCCCCAGAGAGCTGTACCTTTAACAAGTACCAGCTGTTCCCCATGGTCAGGCAGGGCTGGGAGACACTGAGTGGGCCTACAAGTGAAAGGCAGGGACTTCTTACCTGGGGTTTGCTCTGAGCCACGGCAGGGGGATGCACCTCGAGAAGACAATAAAATATATTGAGTACCAAAGTACACTGAACAAAATCTAACATTTCCTTGAGGTTTCTGAAGGTCCTTCAGATTCTAGCTGGCTATCACCACAAATACTGCCAACTAGCTGGAGAGAAGGAAGTATTAATTAAAGGATCTTGACAATGCCAAGGAGCACGGACTGTGGGGTGAGCCAAAACAGTAGACTGTAGGACCAGGAGCCCTGTTGTCGGAGTCAAGAGACCTGGGTTCTGGTCACAGCCCTGCCAATTATTCTGCTGGGTACCTTAGGCTAATCACTTTTACAAAGTTGTAACTTAGACCAGAGAGCTAAGGGGACTGGGAGGTTGACTGGATAGTGCAGGCGCACACCAGAATTACTAGGGGAACCCACAAAAGCAAATACAGATTCCCAAGCCCTACCCAGACCCATTCAATCAGAACTTCGAGGGCTGGGGCATGGAATCTGCAAATATTCCTCATGTGGTTCTGAAGCACAATTAGTTCATATACTAGAATTTGTAAAAAGCAGCTTGATACCACCTCTGCAAGCCTGGGAATTGAGGAAATAATTGTCCTTAATCATTTGTGAAGATACAGTATATACTCTTGTACTCTTAAAGCTACTCACCTTTTTAAGAATTAGGGGGAAAAGGAGGGGTTGGGGGATGAAACAACCAGTGGAATGAAATTTAACTTAATTCTTAACCTAAGATCTGAATTGTGCTCACTTCTGCTCTCTCTCACTCAACAACAGAACAGTTAACAAATATTTATTGTGTACCTGCTATGTGCACCGGAGATTAAGTGGTGAACAAACCTAAGTCCCTGCATTCATGGAACTTACAGACTAATAGATTTCATTCCCCTTGTCTCAACTTCTTTTGTTTGTTTCAACAAACCCCTGAGCAATAATTAAATGCCTTCCTTCTATTTTCAGGAAGAATAAAAATAGCCATGTTATTTCACAGTTGCAAGCTTCTTTTTGCAGAGTGGGCCCATAAGTCTTGTGGGTATGTCTTTAAAACCAGAAAAGCAGACTCCTTCCTTAGGAAGTGAGCACAGGTGAGCTCTCTCCATCTGTCTAAATTAAGAACGCCACCATTTACTGAGCTGAGCGCTGACATAAGTGAAGACGCTGGGGTTTGCCTTGGGAATTGAAAGACACTATTTATTGAATCAATTATTGCTCACACTGTGACAGTTGATTTTCTTTCTCTTTTTTCCCCCTCTCTCATACCACGTTAGTCTTTTTAAGCAGAACAGTTAGAAATAGAAGGGGCAAACAGAGAGAGACCTATAAATGAATTAAAATCAAAAAACCTACCAGGGCGGCCAAGCCATTATTTAGTCCATCTCTTTGGTAAGGAAGGACGAAATCAAAACCCAATCGAGAGTCCTTTCGAATAGTTTCAATGCTTAAAATTCAACCCCCAAGAGATCAGGCTTAAAGGGGCTAAATTTACACCACTTATCACACAGTGATGCCTGAAATGCAGAACAAACATTACGTGGATCCACCTTCATAGACAGAGCTTAACTTAAAAGCTTTTTGGACTGACAAACCATAAACCAGCTTGATTTTATTATGTCCTTCCCCTCTGAGAATTTTTTCTCCCTGTTACCAGGCCATCTTTTTGTATTTGCCATTGTACAGACAAGGGAGCCCTCCCAGGCTCATTTCCCTAATACAAGGGCTGTGCTGACCAGACATGTTCCCACAGAGGAGTCCCAGAGTCACGTCTTTCAGATTCAAAACACTTCACCAATTCCCCACTCTAGAAGTATCTGAAAAATAGCTGATTATTACAGAAAACGAAAAGCTTGCCGGAAGAGAGGGCAGAATAAGTTGGAACTAAATGTGGCTAGATCCAGATGCTGTCTTTATTTTGTTATCAAACTGATGCTTCCTTAAGAAGCTCCGATTTACCTATGAGTCCCTGAAGAGGGCTGCATGAAGGGAGGACCTGCAGAAGCTGCTAGAAGATGAATGGTTTGAATAAGACCCAAGCCTGATTATGAGTGTGACATACAGAGTGAGGGGAAGGTCCAAGCAGAGGAGAAGAGGGTAATATTAGATGTTATAAAAATTACAAAGTTCTTGGGGAGTTCCCTGGCCATCCAGTGGTTAGGACTCTGTGCTTCCACTGCCAGGGGCCTGGGTTCGATCCCTGGTTGGGGAACTAAGATCCCACAAGCTGTGCGACACAGCCAAAAAAAAAAAAAAAAAAAATTACAAAGTTCTAAAGCAGTTCTCAAAAGACACATATATAGGGATCTCTTAACAAAAGAGAATTGCTCAGTTAGTTATCACAATGATAAAAGACTGGCCATAATTAGATGAAGAACAACTGTTTGTGTACTGAGTGTTTACCAGAAGCTAGGAACTGTGATAACCAGATTAAGCACTGGAAGACCTCTCCTCCCGCCACTGAAAACAAGCTTTCTTTTGGATCATGGCTTTGGAATAAGTACCGGAAACAGTATCCACGCCCATTGTGTGTAAAAGCCTGCACTGCTGCTGTGAGGAATGAGATGCATGTAAGACATGATGCTTCTACTCAAGAGGGCATCATCGGTCTCTTGGGAGGAATTAGAGGAATGCAAAATAACTGAAAAACAACACAGCCTCTGAGAAACATTACCACGCTTGAAAAAAAAAAAAAAGGTCAATGGAAGAAGGGAAGTAGAGACTGATCTTGCATGAACGGAGGACCTGCAGAAGCTGCTAGGTGGTGAATGGTTTGTATAAGACCCAAGCCTGGTTATGAGTGTGACATACAGAGTGAGGGGAAGGTCCAAGCAGAGGGATTAACAAAAGGCATGGGGGTGGGAACATCAGTCCACGTGCAGTTAAGCGGACTGGAGGCAGCAGGAGATGAGACTATTACACTTCCAATGTTTCCACTCCCCCGCAAACTCCCCACCTGCTCACACATACTCTTCCTCCCACCTTAGTTCTGCTCTTTCCTGGAAGAGACAACAGCACATAAAACATCTCACAAATAGCCCTGTAATAATGCAACAACACTCTTAAAAGGTTTTAGGGTTGAGTCCAAGCTAGCTGTGAAACCTTGGGCACTTTACT